CATACCATTCTCGACAGCGCATAATATAATTGTTCAATTCTTTATCCAAGTCATCTAGTAAGGAAATTGCCTGAACAATCATTGTATCCACTTTATCAGCACTAAATTTCAATCGGTATCGAGAAAGGCTGTGGGCGAGTCCAAGGCACATAGCAGCCATTTCACGTGGTTCTACCCCAGGGATTAATCCATCTATCTGTGAACGGATTCCTCTCATAAGTTCATTAACAACAGGACTATGGATGCAACTGAGATTCAGCTTTTCCTTAATGACTCCTCCCAATTTAGCATCAGCTACAGCCAAGGGTTCATGGGCTTCTTTTACTATTTTCTTCAGTACTTTTTTCAGTTGCTTATTGATTTTGCCTTCCACCAGAGCTGTGAAAGCTGCTAATGCTTCTGCTGTATCTTGAAATTTCTCAAAATGTTTTAGCTTTACTATTTTATTTGCTTTCTCTGGTGTTTCAAATTCTTTCCATAAACTATCAACCTCTTGAAGTTTCTTCTCATTTAAAACCTTAAAGATGGCGTAGCCAACAGAAGTTTCAAACAGAACCAACATGATGACGCCGGTTACGGGGCCGCGCGGCCGGGCACCAGCAGAAAAACTACTAATTTGTAGTCACAAACGTGTAGCTGGAAAAGCACAAGTGTGCACACCACCACCACCACGCAGACACTCAGACCACGCAGCCGAGGGATGATGCCTTTGAGCTGTGGGGTTGGAGAATATATATATATTTAATATACCATGGACTGCTAAGAAAATGAACAGTTTCATCCGAGAGAGAGTTAAACCAGGCTGTTCGTTGGAGGCAAGGATTCTGAGGCCTTGTCTGACATAAGTTGGACATGTTGCAAGGAGGGGACCAATCCTTGGAGAAGCACGTCATGCTTGGGAGAGTGGAGGGACAGTGTAGGAGAGGAAGATCCTCTATGAGGTGGATTGATTCAGTGACTGGAGTAATGGGGGTAGATGTGTCAGAGACAGTGATATTGGCACAGGTTAGAGCAGGGTTTAGGGTTGTTGTACATAGGGTTGCTATGAGTCGCAAGGCACTTGACAGCACATAACAACAGCAACAACAACATCTTTTTCCTTGGTTTTGGCTTCTGGATGCTCTGCTGGAATTTTCAGATTCTCTTCTGACATCCATTTTGGTGTTTTCTCCCTTCTCTGTCTTTGTAGTACCTTTTGCTTTCTTCATAGATTTTATCTTTGATGTCATCCCACAAACACATTGTCTTCAATTGTTGATTTTAAATGCCTAAAACCTATTCTTAAGATTATTTTTTAAATTAAAGTGAAATAGACTCAAGATTGTATTTTGGTTCTTGTGAATTTGTATCATTTTCCTCGACCTCAGTTTGAATTTGCACATGAGTAAATGATGTTATATTCCATGGTTGACACCTCTCCTGGTTTTGACAGCTGATATTGAGCCTCTCTAATGATTTCTTTTTTCCACAAATGTAGACAATCTGATTCCTGTTCAGTCCATCCTGTGAGGTCTATGATTACAGCTGCCATTTTTAAAAAAAGTATTTTTTATGAATAAATCATTGCATGTTCAAGACTCAATAATTTCATTTCCTTTCTCATTTCTGTCATGAAATCCCTAATTTCCCACTAATATACCTTCATTATTTCCAACTTTTGCATTCCAGTCACTAATTATCCTTAATGCATCTTGATTGCACGTTTGGTCAATTTTCAACCTTAAAATTCAGTAAAAATCCTTCATTTACCCATCTTTGATTTTAGCTATCAGTGCATATATCTGAATAATAGTCAAATTAACAAGTCTTTCTTGCATGGATATGCATAGTACATATTCCACACAACATTGTTCTCCACTGTAGTACTTGATAGTTTCTTTGTAACTATGAATGTAGCACCATTCTTGTTTTTCATTCCTGGCATCATGTGATTGATTCAAACTGGCCAATGCTACTCAATATCATCTCACTAACGGGTAGAATGCCTATGCTCATTTGTTGCATTTCATTTTAACAACTAGTTTTCCTACTCCATACATTCCACATTCCAATTATTAAAGGAATGTTTGGCTTTGTTTCTCCTTTTTAGTTGACTTCTAATCTGTGATCTACCTCTCATACCACACTGTCCCATGTTCCTCTATTTTTCATGCCATTTTTAGAGACCGGCTCTTTCAGAATTGGATGCCAAATTCTGCTTCTTAGTCTTTCTTAATTTAGGAACTGTGTTGAAATCTATGTTCCATGGGTGGCCCTTCTGTAATTTTTCATATCAGTGGCATAGTTTTCAGGATCACAGCAATGCACAAGTTTCCCCTACACAGCAAACTGACAGACAAGTGCTGTAATTATAAAAGCAGATGATAAAAAAGTAAAAAGATGCACACTTAAGCTATCAGGTAATTGTTATTGTTGTTGTTATGGTCCTCAATTATGAATTATAGCTACCGTGTGAACAACAGCTCTGAATCTTGCTCTACCCTGAGCCACCTTCACCATTTCTGACACATCTGATGACATTGTCACAGTAACTGTGTCAATTTATCCCATACAGGACCTTCCATTTCTGTGCTGACCCTCCACCCTTTCAAGCATGATATTCTTCCTTCTCCAAGGACTGACTCCTCTGACAGCATGCTCAAAATATGGAGTTTCAAAATCTTTGACTACAAAGAGTAACCTGGTTTTGCCCTCTCCAAAACAGACTTGTTCTTTTGGAAATTGATGGTATGTTCAATACTCTTGTAAATCATTCCTCCAATAAAGATAAGTGTTGTGCCTCTAACAACAAGCCAGGCACACAAATGTCATGGTGCAGGACTCAGCTGAGGCCCATGTCGACACAGAGAATGAGGCTTCAGATTGATACTGGAGTCTTCTGGCTGAGGCCCGTGGCCAGCACAGTGAAGGAATGTCCCAGATGACGGTATTGCCAAATAAAAAGTTTGATATAGAAGTCAGAGGCATAGAAGAGGTCAGGGCTGGAGAGATAAAATGTTGAGAGTAATCAGGGAAAAGATGGCATATAAAGCTGTGTACATGGATGAGGCAAATATTGCTTTTGTGTGCAAATCAGAGGTGCACTGTTTGGAGTAAATCAGAATTACCTAAAATATTCCTACTTAAGTTGAGGAGAAATCTAGAAAGAAAAAGAAAATTGTCTGCTGTTACTTAGGTTAAAATTGCATTTCAAAATTATATCTATTAGAGAACAAATGATATAAACAAGAAGTAAATATAGAGAGCTTAAGGAGAGGGTTAAATGGTTTAAAGTCCTCAAAAAGAATTATGAGAATTTCTATAGACACACAGAAAAAGATGCCAAACTTTAATGGTATAATCTGGAAGGAAGAAAATGAAGAGTCTCAAAAGGAATGAAGATTGTTGGATAATAGCAGAGCAGGAGCAAACTTGCCAGAAGTTTTGCAAAGCTTTGATAAGACTGCAGGGAAAGAAATAAGGATAAAAGGGTAAGTAAGGACCAGGTCAAGGAGAAAGTGCATGCTATGGTTAAAGAAGACAGATTTTTATCTTGACATTGACAGGGAGCCATAGAAGGAACCCTTAATCAAAAGAATGAAATAACTAGGATGTAGTTCTGACTCCGGCTTTGCCTCTCACTGACAAGGATTTAGAAAAATACATTTTCTTCTACTAAAGTATTTTAGCCAAAAAAGCCCTTTATTCAAACAAAGGGTGTCTAGAACCAACACATCTATCAGCTCAATAAGAATACTCTGGCTGAAGACTTGGCTGCTTGGCTTTCAGCAGTCTTGTCAAATAACAGGGCTCGATGGATTTAAAGCAGACATTACTGGCTTTAAAGATATCTGTTTCTGCTTTTGTGTCAAATTCTGTAATCTCTGCTGCTGTTTTGTTATTAAGCGCCGTTGAGTCTACTAGAACTAATAGTGACCTTATGAACAACAGATCTGAAACTTCTTCTATTTTGTACCATTCTCTCAATTTCAGTCCCACATGCTCAGCCCCAATTGCTGAAGTCCCTGTATCAAATCATCTTGTTAAGGTCTGTCTTTCTTTCTTGGACCCTCCACCTTTCCCAGCACAATGTCTTTTCCCAAAGCTGGCCCCTCCTGGTAACATGTCAAAAGTACATGAGATCAAGTTTTACCATTCTTGTTTCTTACGAGAGTCCTCGTTCCAATTCCTCCAGGACAAATTTATTTCTTCTTTGTGAAGTCTATGGGACATTCAGTACTGTTTTCTGGCACCATAATGGAAAGATATCAATACTTCTGCATCTTTCATATTTGCTTTATGTTGAACTATCCTTGCATACCTGTTCTGAATCCTACTTGGTCATGATGAATTCTTTTTTTTTATGTGCTTTTGGATACTATTGACTAGGATTTTGTTAAGGATTTTGCATCTATATTCATGACAGCTATTGGTCTGTAGTTTTCTTTTTGGGTAATATCTTTGCCTGATTTTGGTGTTAGAGTTATGCTTGCTTCATAAAATATTCCTAAGAGTATTTCTTCTACTTCTATTTTTTTTTCAAATAACAAGTAGAATTGGTGATAGCATTCTCTCCAAAGGATAAGTCAACTAAAAAAGAAATTTAACAAAGATGCAGAAGATTTAAACTATACATTCATCCAACTCAACCTGATGAATGTATTCCAAGTATTGCACCTAAATACAATTCAATTAACTTTCTTCTCAAATGCATGTGATGCATTCTCCAGAATTGATTACATATTATGGCACAAATCAATCCTCAAAAAATTTAAAAAACCATTAAAATAATACAAAGTATCTTTTCAGATCACAATGCCACAAAACTAGAAATTAACCACAAGAGGATAAAACTTAAAAAAAACACACACACACATCAATGTGAAAGCTCTTCAGAATTTTGAAGAGGTTACTGTAAGCAGACTTTCCCAATGAAATATGTCTCCTAATCATCTGGCCACTGATACCAAGGGTTATGATTGTTGATACAAACAAGATTAAATATTTGACAACTTCAGTCTTTTCTCCATCTGTCATGATCTTATCTATTGTTCCAGTAGTGAGGACCTTTAATTTCTTGATTTTGAGGTGTAATCCATCCTGGAGGTTGTAGTCATTGATGTTCTACAGCAAGCATTTCAAGCCTCCCTTACTGTCAGCAAGCAAGTTTATTCAGGTTTTGATGAGACCTGATATTACATTCCTCTTCATAAAATCCTGCTTCAAAAATCATTTGCCCAGTATTCTGTGTTTGTGTGGTTATGGGACTGAAATAGCAACTATAAAGATATCTGAGTTGCCTGTCGCCCTGAGCCTGAGAGGCCTTGGCAGGGAGCCAACCTCTGCAGGCAGTCTAGAAGACATTTGAGTTCAAAGAAGTGGTTGTTGTTGTTATATGAGGTCGAGTCAACTGTGACTCATAGTGACCCTGTGCACAATACTTCTGAATCCTATCCAGTCCTGAGCCAGTATCACCATCTCCAACACACTTACCCCCATTACTCCACTTACTGTGTTAATCGATCTCATCTAGATCTTCCTTTCCTCCGTTTTTCCAAGTATGATGTCCTTCTCCTTATTCAT